GCCCTGTCCAGCCCCCTCCCGCAATTGCTCTGGTCTGTGCCCGTTGCTGCTTTGACCAATACAGCATGGTGAAAATGATGCTGTGCGGTTCCAGGTCTTGCCTTAAAATGGCCTATAGCTTCCACTTCTTCCCCCATGGAAATCCAGTGTTTGGGGAGCCCTGAGCAATCATGTGAGAAATTCAGCTGCCCTGCTGGGAAGACCACATGGAGAAGAGAGGCTTTGAGACCACACTGAAAGGGAAGGAGGGAACTGGCCATTCCAATGTCCCAGTAATAGTCAGTCCTCTTGATGACTCCAGCCCCAGCCACCTCTAACTGCAACCAAGTCAAGGCATGAAACTGTGAGAGAAAATAAAAGGGTTACTGTTTTAAGCCACTAAGCTTTGGGTCAGGCTGTTATGTAGCAAAAGAAAACTGAAACTAACTCCAAGGCCAAAACTCAAGACAATTACCACAGAGCTGAGCACTTTTGAAAAAACTACCTCAGTAACCTGAAGGAATTATCACGGTGTATTAGTTTCCTATGGCTGCTGTAACAAGTAACCACAATGTAGTGGCTTAAAACAACACATATCTGTCTTAAAGTTCTGGAGATCAGAAGTACAAAATGGGAGGGCCGGCCCGGTGGCGCACTGCTACAGTGCGCCGCTTGGGAAGTGCGGCGGCGCTCCCGCCGAGGGTTCAGATCCCACATACAGACCGGCCGCTCACTGGCTGAGCGAGGAGCGGGGGCAACACCGAGGGTTGCGATCCCGTTGCCGGTCCCGGTCCGGTACGGGCGCGACACTGAGGGTTGCGATCCATTGCCGGTCATGAAAAAAGACAAAAAAAAAAGAAGTACAAAATGGGTCTCACTAGGCTAAGCTCAAGATGTTAGCAGGGGTGTGCTCCTCTCTGGAGTCTCCAGGGGAGAATACATTTCCTTGCCTTTTCCTGCTTCTAGAGGTCACCACATTCCTCAGTTCATGCCTCCTTTCCTCCATCATCAAGACCAGAAGAGTAGCATCTTCAAATCACTCCCTTTCCTACCTCACTCTTTCCTTAATAAGGACCCTTGTGATTACAGCAGGAAAACCAGGATAATCTCCCCAGCCCAAAATCCTTGATTTAATCATATCTGCAAAACTACCTTTGCCCTTTATGGTAACATATTGAACAGATTCTTGGGTTTAAAATGTGAACATCTTTGGGGAACAATTATTCTGCCTACAATGTGTGGTAATCTAGAAAAATAACCAGTATACTCCAGAGGATTAAGCAAAAATGAACTGGAATTTTCTCATTGCCCAAAGACATCCCACAGCTTCCCAGGAAACGTGAGAAGTACCATTTGCAAGAGTGGCCCCAACCTGTCTGACATCACCAACCTCTTTTATTCTTTCTCCCCCAGGAATTCTTTGTTTAAAAAATCTTACCTCCCTAGCATAGTGCATCACTAATGATTTATGCTTCTTTCATCTACTGTTCTTTCCTCAAGCAGCCACACCTACCGCCCCAGCCTCTCTTATAAGAAGACAGTCAAGCCAAACCTGCTGAGTCAAAAGAATCTCAGCCAAAGGCACAGACGCGGGATGTGTTCATCAGCTCAGCAGGCCTGACCTAGGAAAATGCACAGCTGCCGCTAGACTCTGGGAAATTCCAAACACACTGGCTAGGGACTACAGCAAAGGGTAATTGGTAGTGTGAAGATAACAAGGACATAACAAAAAGGTATAAATATAGTAAGTCAGTACACTCCAATATCTAGTAGCATCTCCAACTCGACCTTTCCCAAACTGAGCTCTGGATCCTTTCTATCCCACCTGTCTCCCACCAGTCTGCCATCTCACACCCAATCCACAGGAAATCCTGTTAGCTCTACTTTCCAAATAAATCTACTGGTTATTCATTACTAAGAGGAAAAGGAGAGGTTCTTTTTGTAGTTACCACCTTAAGAAAGGGATCCAAGTCACCATCATGAATGACAGCACAAACAGACATCAGTGGCCCCCTGAAAGGACATCCTTAGGACACACCATCACACCTGTGGTATTCCTGCCCAAAATGCTCATAAATCCAATCAGCGAAGCAATCAGAAAACTCCAGACTATGGGACACAGTCAGTGTCATAAAAAACAAGAAGGGGTAGGAATATTGTTCTAGAGCAGGGTCAGCAGGCTGGCCGGTGAGCTCAGTTGGTTAGAGCATGATGTTATAACACCAAGGTCAAGGGTTCAGATCCTCATACTGGTCAGCCAAAAAGAAAGAAAGAAAAAAAAGAGCAGGGTCCGCAAATGTTTTCTGTAAAAGACAGTAAGTATTTTAGATTTTGTGGGCCATACAAACTCAATTCAGCATCCACAGACAACAGGTAAACAAATGGGTATGGGTGTGTTACAATAAAACTTTATTTGCAAAGACAGGCAGAGGGTGATCACCAGCTCTATTTAGATTAAAGGATGTTAAAGAGGTAAGATAATCAAATGCAATGCATGATCCCTGAGCAGAGCAAAGATTAAAAATAGTAATAATAAAAAACAGCTAAAAAGGACATTTGGAGGGCAATTGGAGAAATTATAATGTGAACTAAATATTAAATATGAGCTATAAAATAATTTTGTCAATGTTAAAATTCTCAGGGTGATATTGGTACTGTGTTATATAGGAGATTGTCTTTGTTCTTAGGAGGTACATGTTGAAATATTTAGGAGTAGTGTCATATCCACAACTTATTTTCAAATAGCTAGTTGAGAAAAAAAATGTGTATACATACAAACACACACACATATATATATATATGAAAGCAAAAACAAAGCAAATTTGTTGAAGGTTAATAACTGATGAACTAGGTGGTAAAGGGTACATAAGAGATGACCACAATATTCTTTCAACTTTTCTGAGGGTTTGAAGATTTAAAATGAAGAAGTTGGTGATAAAATATCTCCAGAATCCTCACAGTATCACAATAAGTATTATTTATAGCATAAATTTATACATAGCATATACATAAAATGTAAATAATAAAAGTATCTACCTCATTATACTTTGGGAGGATTCAATGCCAAAGGCTGCGAAGTGCTTACTGCATGGCCTGGCACAAAGTAAGTGTTCCATAAATGTTGCTATTATTTAATATCCATTGTACAGAAGAGGAAATTGAGGCTCAGAGGAGTTAAGTGACTGGCTCAAAGTCACCAGCCTGGGAAGGAGTGGGGCCAGGATTCAAATCTATGTCAGTCTGACTTGGGAAGCCGCTTTTTAAACCACAATGCTCATGGTGCCAATAACACCAAGGTCCAGGGTTCAATCTCTGTACCAGTAAGCCGCCAAAAAATAAATAAATAAATAAAATAAAAATAAACCACAATGCTAAGAATAACAGTGTTTAGAAGAAAAGCAGTGGCAGGAAACAGACTCAGCCTGGGAATCCAGAGTCCAAGTCCTCCCTTTGGTACAAACTCCATGTGTGACCTAGCAATTCATTTCTGCCCACACTTTCCCTTCTGTACAGTGGAGGAAGTCATTCCCTCCCCTGACATGGGGACAACATAGTTGTGAGGGTCAAATAAGATAGCTGATAGGAAAGTACTCTGGTGAGTTCCAACACTTTTCCATTCTAAGATCTGCAGCCCTGGCAGAGTCCCCATCAACCATCAAAAGACCAAGAATTCTAGCAAACTTTAAGGACACAAACTTATAGGTGAAAAAAAGTGCGCTCTCCTTAACCATCTGGCCTTTGCATGTGCTCCTCCCTCTGCCTCAACATGGTCCCTGTCCCAGTGTTGTCTAGTGAGATTCTCCTCACCCTTTAGTCCCAGTTCAGATGTCTCCTATGCCAGCAAGCCCTCCCTAAACCCCATGCCAGGTCAGCTGTCCAGTGGGTTCCCCCATCCCAACTCTGGGTTGTCAGTATTGGGGGATGGGTCTGTCCCCACTGGCTTGAGAGCTCCTTAAGGGCACAGACTGGGGCTGGCCTAGTCCCTGCTGTTTCACTAGCACTGCCAGCACAAGAAGTGGCACAGAGTAGATGCTAAATAAAGTAATGGATGGATGAATGGATTAATGGTGGTTCCCTGACCCAGCAAATTATGTTACATTCCCTTATTTTATGCTCCCACAGGCCTATAGCACAGAGATCACCATCCTGTTAAAGTAACTCATATTTTTAGCCTTTACTATGCTCTTCAGATGTCAGCTCGGATGGCCCCCTTCTAGGCAGCCTTCCTGATCCCATGCCCTTGGATCAGTGGGCTCCTCTGAACATCAGAGCTCCCACCGCCCTGACCACTCTGGGTTGACACTGAAGGGATAGCAGTGTATCTTTCAGTACCAAGCGAAAAGCTTGCACAGTCTGCCTATTGAATGAATGGGTTGGATTCTGCCTATTGAATGAATGAATATGAGTGGATTAATGAATTTATAAATCAATGTGCACTAGTTAAAATTCCCCTTTTGCCAGATCTGCAGGCCACGTCCCTAGAACCCAGACTTCACCGCCGAATCACTCTCCTAACCCAGGCCTACTGCCCGGAGTAAAACTGAGGCACATTAATGTCCTAAATGGATGATACACAAGCACTTCCCACCTCCCAGGGCAGGAGGGAAATTGAGGCACTGTGTGAACTTTTGTACGTGAAGTTGCCTACGGATGGCCTGGCCAAGGACTCCGTCCAGTGTCTCCTCAGCCCCGCCCCTACTCGGCTCTGTCCTGGCAAGCCCCGCCCAAGTTACTCCCTTCTCCAACACTATTGGCTCGCGTAGACGTCAGTCTCCACACAGTCTCTTCCTCTATTGGTTGGTATTTCCAACGGGCGCGGTGGCGCCCTACCCCGCCCCTTACCTCACGCCCGTCCTCACTACTGGGCTACCCTCGTGCCCTTCCTCCAGAAACCCTCCCTATTGGCTTCAGGACTTTGCCGGGTTGGGCTGTGATTGGTCATGGACAGAATCCACCCCTGAGCAACCACCTGAGAAGGGTTGGAGAACGGAAAGGTTGGAGGGACGTGGGGTCAGACTCACGCTGAGCCGGCGGGAGACATATATAAGTCTTGAAGAATTCGCTTCGGCGGGCAGCCTCCTTAATGCGGTTGGCAAGCGGCTTGCTGACCTGCCGGATGCCCAAGTATAGCAGCTTCGCCATAGGGAACGCGCCCACCACCATCTTGGCGGCCGCACGGGGCACGCGCAACCTTGCTGACTGGGCGGGGCGCCTCGGATCTCTCCACCCCTCCCCTGCCCGCTCGTGGCCGCGCCTGCGTGCGTACGTGAGTCCGCACGCACGAGGGGCGGAAAACACAGGGGCGCTTCCTGACGTCACCGCGTCGACGCTAACTCCTCGACGTCCGTTCGCTGAATATGCAAATTAAGGCGGAAGTGAGGCGACCAGGGGGCTAGCACTTGCCTTATTGGGTTGTGAGCTTGCATGCGAATCTTGAGTGTAAAACATATTGAGTGAATCATGTTAAGTGCTTAGGATCGGGCCAGTCACATAGTAAGCACTCAATAAACAGCCCTTATTACTATACGGGTAATAGCGTTATTGTTGCTAACTCCTGTGTGAGGGTGTGTTTCACGCTCAGAAGCGACTGATCCAGCTCTTTCTCAAGTAACCGACAAGGAGACCGAGGCTCAGAGAGGGACAGGAGGCTCGCACAAGATTCCTTAGCTTGCAGAGGTTGATAGCCCAACATTTTGGCTAATAAAACTCTACCCGTTCTCAAGCAGCCCTATTTCCTACATCGGGGGGTGAGGGTCCCCAGGGAGCCGGCTCGGGAAGGAGTTTAAGGACATGTCCCAGACTGTCCTCCCTTACCCAGCAGGGAGAAAAATCATATAAACAAGGTCAGGAAGGGGTTGAGAGAAATTCCTGGACGGTGGAGTGCTGGTGGGTACTTGAGAGATTCTAAGAGAGGCAGAGGGAGAGAAGACAGGAGAGCAGAGATGTGTTGTGCCGGAGGAAACGAACGCTTAGGTTTAGGACACAGTCAGAGGAACCCGGGATTTCCTCGGCATCCACTCTGACTCCCTGAGTGTCCTTTGTCAGGTCCACGGCACTGAGGGATCTGCGTTTCTTCATCGGTAATAGTGATGTTGGTGTGTGTGAATCCAGATATTCTAAATTACTAAGAACGCCAAGATTCCACAAAAACAATCCATTCCTAAGACCCTTTCTGGACTGAAGGTGTGAGGGAACCTGGGCCTATTTAAGGTCCGTCGTCAACTTGGGACCAATCCCCTTCCCATTTTACAGACTGGCCAACTGAGGCCAGAGGAAGAAAAGCACTTGTCTAAAGTTCCAGAGGTCATCAGGGTGGAGCTGAAGCTGGGATTTCTTGAGTCACAGCCCAGGGCCTTTTCTTGATCCCTGGGGGTGTTATCCTAAAGCCCAAACACTGAGAGGCTGAGGACGCCCATGGTAGATTTAGGAAACTTCCAAACTTGTACATGAGTTTTTTCTGTATAATCCACTGCTGTTATTTAAACTATTAGAACAGTGCCTGGCACAAGTAGTTGCTCAATAAATATGTATGAATGAATGGGAATGAGCATTTGGTGGGAGGGGATAGTGTCCAGGCATTCATCTGATACCCCAAGGGGACTGTGTTCAAAAAGTTTCTGGCCCCTACATATCTATCCCAGTAACTATGGTGGTGGGACATGGTGGGAAGACTGCTCGGCCTCCCATATCCCAGGCCTCTCTCTCTTCTCTACCCCTCATCACTAAAGCCATGACTTCCTGCATCTGGGTGCTTTCTCCACGCTCCATCCACCGCCCCTCCCCCCACTAGCAAAATCGTTTTTCTCATTAAGTGCATTTTTTTCCCATTCCTGTCCTCCCTCCTCTTCCTTTCTCTGAGAAGTGTTTCCAGAAACCTCTTCTGGGAACTTCTGGTGCAAGGGTGCGTGTGTAAGAGAATCTTCACATCTCAGGAGCCTCTTACACACCTGTGCAGAGAAGGAAGGGAAAGAGGAGACTTCCAGGAGGGAGGAGGCTCGTCCAGAGCTGGGTGCTTCCTCCTGTTCTCCAGCCTGGTTGAGCAACGATGGCTATTCCTGGTGACCTTTGAGGCCAGGGGAGAGGGGGGAACACCATTAGCGAGGGAAGGCAGCCTTGGCCACCCTGGGGCGTGGGAACAGAGGCAGAGATGGGGAGGGGAGAGGGAGTCCAGGATGGTCCCTAGTGCTGACTCATTGGTGATGTGACCTTGGACTAGTCGCTTGGCCTCTTTGGTGACTGCCTTGGACTAGGGCCTGGGATTATTCCCAGTGGGTCTTTCCGCTCAGGCTGCCTGATCACCCTTTTCCCAGAATGGGTAAGGGGTTCATGTTACGTAATCCCACAGGCCCATGTGCTTCTGCCATAAAAGTATTCCTACAGAATAAATCCTGAGACTGACCACTGCTCTTTGTCCAGTCCACCACCACCACCCACCCTGGTCCAGCCACTAGCATCTCCCGCCTGGACTATTTCAGTCACTGTCTCACTGAACTCCTGGCTTCTCTCCTTGCCTCCCATATTTATTCCCCACTGAGCAGCCTGAGGGATCCTATTAACATTTAAGTCTGACCTCTGCTAAGAGCCCCCTTGTGGCTTCCATTTATTTCAGAGTAAAAGGCTCAGTCCTCACCAGGACTTAATGGCCCTGCACGATCTGCCTCTGTCCCCTCTCCAGTCTCACTTCTCATTTCTCTTGCCCCCCTCTCCCTCTGCTCTGAATACACTGCCATACCTACTGTCCCTCGAAATTCAGACAACTCTCTTACCCAGGGCCTTTGTACTTGCTGTTCCCTCTGCCTGGAATGCTCTTCCCACGACAGCCAGAGGGCTGACCACCTCACCTCCTTCAGGTCTTTGCTTGAAAGCCATCTAGTGAGCCCTCCCCTGTCCTCTTCATCTAGATCAGACTCCAGGTCACTCTCTATCCCCTCAACTGGCTTTATGTTTCCCCTTTACATTTAGCAAATCCAAACATTATATTTATATACTTGTCATGAGCCCTGTGAGGGTAGGGTCAGGGCTGTCTTGGTCATCACTGTATCCCCAGCCCCACAGGACCAGGCATAAATCTCTGTTGGATGAATGAATAAATTCCCTTCCTCTTGTCCTGAGTCTCCTTCCCAAGCCTGCCCTGCTCACTCCTCCTCCAGGCAGTCTGCCCTGATTGCACTTCACTTGAGTTCTGACGTTTTCCCTCTTCATTCTCAATCCTGACTTGGCAAAAACTTAGAATTGCTCTGTCTTATGCTCTCTGCCCTGTACGACTGAGGTCTTCCTAAGGGCAAACGTGATGACTCTACATTTAGTGAATTTCTCCTTCCACCTTCCCCCGAGTCACAGATTTTTATCCTTGTTAGAAATAATTCTAACTTTCTTTTCTTTTTGTCTTTACCTTCTGGAAACCAAATGTTTGATTAATTTACTTGTTCTCTCCTCCAGGAAGCCCTCCATGACCCCCAGACAGTGACAGAGCCTAGGAGTCATGAGGGGAGGGCCAGGGCTATCATTTGTCACTGCTGTGTCACTAGCACTGCCTAGCACAGGGCTAGGAACAATTAAACTGAACTCTTAAAGGGTCATGGTGGAGGATGATGGTTGACTAGTGACACACCAACCTCACTCTTTTTCTGTTTTCTTGTATTCTTATAACTATTAACACAGACTTATTTGCATACACCAGACCAGGAGAGAAAGGACTGTGGGATGAGCTTTGAGGATGGGGGGCTCCGCACCAGTTGGGTTTACTGTGCTGGAGGCAGCATCTTCAACTGCACCTGGTCCCCATGGGAGGGCGGAGCTGCCACCCAGCCAGCCACCATGGCCTTGGTCATGCTGTTCCTCTTGGAGGTGAGTGGGGTCTCCAGGGTGAGTGAGGCATTAGCCATCTCGTGGGGCTTGTCACTGGCCAGGAAGCGGAGCAGGTTGTGCAGGGCCTTGGCCACGTCGCTGCGGGCACCCTCATTGACAAGGCAGTAGAGGATGGGGTCAGCCACACAGTTGAGGCTGGTGAAGGCCAGCGAGCTGTGGTATGCTGAGAAGACACGCTCCTCAAAGCCACAGTCCCAGGGGCGGCCCAGGTAGACGGCACTGCGCGAGAGCAGGAGCACGTGGTAGGGTGCGAAGCAGACCAGCACAATGGCGATGAGGCTGAGGGCCAGCCGCTTGATCTTGGCTTTCTCCTGGCGCTCAGTGGACACGCTGCCCCTCACAGCCCGCAGGATGCCTCGGTATGACAGCAGCATGAGAGCCCATGGGAAGAGGAAGCCCACAAAGACCCGGTAGAGGTTCATCCAGGCCACCCAACCTTCCATGGGGAACTTCTCAAAGCAGAAGGTGTGGTTGTAGCGGTCTCGGAAGAGCTCGTCATGGAACAGGGGTGCTGAGTTGGCACCCAGCTCTGTGGCCCAGACCACGGAGCTCACAGCCACGGCTGTCTTGACACGACGCAAGCGGGCAAACCGCAGTGGGTGGGCCACAGCCAGGTAGCGGTCCACAGAGATGCAGCACAGGAAGGCAATGCTGATGTAGATGTTGGTATAGAAGATGAACCCGAAGAGCTTGCAGGAGCCAGGGCCGTGGATCCAGTTGTCGTGGTGCAGAAAGTAGTCAACCCACAGTGGCAGCGTGCAGATGTAGATCAGATCAGCGATGCTGAGGTTCATCAGGTAGACACCCAGCTCATTGTGCTGCCGCACCTGGCGGTAGGCTGCCCACAGGGCCAGACAGTTGGTTGGCAGCCCCATGCCGATGACAAAGATATAGAGGGATGGTGGGAAGAGGTGGTCCACGCGTGAGTCCACATGGCAGCCCTCCCACGTGCGGTTGCCCATCGTCGGCACTGGGGCTTTCGAGGCACTTCCCCTGGCCCACAGGGGCTATGGGCCCACAGGGGCTGGGAGGCCATGGGGCCCCCTGAGCCCCCTCCTTGGAGGCTCAGGGAAACATGGTGGGAGACAGTCCACGGGGAAGAGATGAAGTTGACTATGAATCGTGGGGCAGGCTGGGCAGGGAAGGGTAGAAAAGTTGAGGGGGAGAAGTTGGAGGAGAGACAGAGTTATGTCAGGAGGGAGGTTTGGGGGATGATGGGATTAATAAAGAGGTTTGTCAAGGGACTGTTTGTAGACTTAATCTGGGTGTAAATAAGGGATTATGGGGGTAACACAAAAAATTGGCAGAAGGGAGTGTTTATAGAGGAAATGAGGGCATCTGTGGGCAGTGTTGAGAAGGAGATGTTTGTAGAAGAGCTAGAAAGTAAGTGTGATCATACTGAAGTAGTGGTGGGATGGAATATTCTAGAAGACACAGGAAATATACAGGACAATGTTGAGATAGGACAGACTACAGTTAGAAAGTGTTGGAAAGACCAGACAACGGGGATGGGAGTGCTGGCATTTCTTAGGACACAGCAGGAAATAAGGAAATAAGTAAGGTCACCAATGAGAAGATAAGGACAAGGAGGTGTCCTGCGGTGGGTGGACAAAGGGGAAAGGCTAAGCCTGGGGACTGTGTGAAGGGTTTTCAGGAAACAGGAAGGAGGTGAGTAAGGCTAGATCAGAGAGTGTTATCAGTGGAAGGGGGGGTTGGAAGGGGGCAGGGGAGGATCTCTGGTTGGGTTCTGACGGGGTCTGAGGGGTTGGAGTGAAGTGCCCCACCTCACAGCCCAGTCCAAAGCTGACTTCTCGGCTCCTGTGGGGAGAGAGGGCAATGGTGAGGGAGTCACGGACAGTCCTGCCCTCTCCTCCCCACGCCCCTCTCCATAATTCCTGTGGACTACAGAGGGTGGACACCCCGATGATGCTACTTGAGCCCCATCCCAAGCAACAGATGTCTGAGAACACAGATATGAGGTGCCAGGTATATGTATTTCCCTAATAGATGTTAAAATAAAAACGCAACTCAGATTTTATCACTTTCTTCCAGAAATCGTGTAAAACTGGCACAAGTACTGTATCATGCTTCAGGAAACGCTGGAGTAGTCAAACCCTATCACTTCACAGACAGGGAGAAGGAACCCAGAGAGGCTGGGAACCAGGGCTGGGGCCAGTCTCCCACCACTAACCCAGAGCACCCCATTCCTGACAACAATGATGGCAATGGTGATAATAACAGCTCAACTTTACTGAGCCCTGCTAAATAGCAGACCCTGTTCTAAGCACTTTTGTGGGTATTTTATTAAAATTTTCAGGAGCCCTATGAGAAAAGTAGTAATTCTCCGTATTTGACAAACTGAGGCACAAGAGCAGTTATGAGACCTGTCCAAGGTCCTGATGCCTGGAGGGGGCAAATCTCTGCTCTCAGCTCTTCTCTCCAGCCTGTGCTTCAGATTCCACCAAAGAATAGTTGGACAAATAAGCTCCCTGGGATGGCAGCAGGGACTGGGAACCACAGCTGCAGAGGGCTGAGGGAAAGGGGAGAGAGGAGGAGTGCTGGACTTGGTCAAGGTCAAATTTGGGGAGCAAGGAGAAGCCCTGGGGTCAGCACCAAAAGTCCCCTCTCTTGAGACCACGCCTTTCACTGTGTCTTCCCTCTCCTTTTTAATAAGAACCTTGGGCCTATCACCCCCTTCGTTCTGGGAAGATCTGCAAGCACAGGGAAAAGTGTAGTCATTGACAAAGATCCTGAATTTCGTCAGCCCCAGAGAGAAGGGGAGTGAAGTCCTAAGTCACAGGCATCTTTGGAAGCCATTCCATCAAAGGGTCTGCACATGTTTAGTTTTTTCTGGGAGGTGAAACCTTTTTTAAAAAACAAACAAAAAACAAGATCTTAACTAGAAACCCAATCTAAGACAGTGAAAAGGAGAAGCTGCTCTGTGCTATGAATGAAATGAGGTGGGGGTGGGGAGGCCACCTCTGAAGAATCCCCAGGACAGACAGATGAAGAAACTGAGGCCCAGAGAGGGGAAGGGATGGGCCCAAAGTCACACAGCAGGGCTATGGGAACCCCCCAGATGCCTGAGCATCTTTTCATGGGCAAGTTCTCTTGGCTCCATCTCCACAATGAATCCTGAATCTGTGCATGTCTCTCTGAAACCCCTGCCACTGTCTGCTCTGCACCACAGTCATCACTTGCTTGGGCTATTGCGGTGGCATCATCGCTGCTTTTCCCAGTTGCCACTCTTGTTCCCTTCAACTCACTTCCCACGTGGCAGCCAGAAAGATCTTTTTAACATGGAAACCAGCTCTTGTTACTTCTCTGCTTCAAACCCTCCACTGGCATCCAGATGGACTTGCAGTAAAATCCAAGCTCCTTGCACTTGCCCCAGGTGTCGAGGCTCTGGGCAGCCTAGCCAGCCTTGCTCACCTTCCTTCAGCAGGCTCAATGCCAATGACCTTCTTTCCAGCCTCAAAGCCTCTGCACTTACTGTACCTTCTGTCTTCCTTACTTCCTTCACTTCTTCAGGGAGTCCCTCTTCAACCAAAGTCCTGCCCACCCACCCCCAGGTCCCTTTCCTCACATCCTCCTGTATCTTGTTTGTGTCTGTCTGTCTGTCTGTCTAGAATGTTCGTTCCAGGAGGACAGAGATCTTGGGACAGTTATCTCCTTAACTGCCATATCCCATATCCCATGTCCCCAGCAGCCAGGACAGACCCAAAATACAGTAAGTGCTCAATTAATGATTATGCATGGAAGCCACTCCAGAAGCTTTGCAGAGGCCAGAGGCATGGAGTAGGAATATGCACTGGTCAGCCCATCCTCCAGTTCCAATATTCTAGGAGTCTTACATTCCACGATTCTAAAGTTCTATTGTTAGATTGCTCTATGATTTTTTTAAACATTCTGTGACTATCATAATCTATTATTCAATCCTCAATGCTTTTTATCTTTGCCCAGCAAACACAAATACGTATTTCCCTTTTCTTTTTTACAAAAATGGGAACATACTCTAAATGCGGTGAGCCCCACTTCCTTTTTTCCCCCTTATCTATTCTGGTTTTTAACATTCTGGGGGGGGTGGGGGGCTTCCCAGGGGAAGAGGTGGGCAGGGGAAAAATGAAAAGGGCAGGATCTATCCACAACTGACTTTGAAAGGTCAGGGTTGAGTTCTGCTCAGTAAATCCCACCCCCTGTGGGGTCCTCAGCAGAAGACTCACAGACAGGCTTCTGGGTCCTGTGGTGATGGGACGGGTGGAGGCTTCTCCTCCATAGAACAGTGCGATCCAATCCCTCCCTTCAAACTGAAACCTCCCACCCAGATCAGGTCACTCAAAACACCTCTCTCTTCTCTCTCCTGTCCTCTTTCCTCCCCTCTCTCTGTTGCCGGTCCTCCCCTCTCTCTGCCCCTGGGTCCCCCCTTCTCTCTGCCCCTGGGTCTCCCCCTTTCTCTGCCTTTGGGTTCCCCCTCCCCCCACCCTTACCCTCTTTCTCTGCCCCTCAGTCTCTCCTTCCTTCCTCCTGTGACATTGAGGGAATTAATTCTCCTTCAGGAGCTTCAGTTTTCCCTTCTGTAGAAGAGGGTCACAACCTTTATACTAATCACATCACAAATGTAAAGATCCTTGGCAGAATGTGATAGCATCTGTAAAAGATGAAGTATTTGAACAATTATTATTATTCCATGGCCACTGGAGAGCTGAGACAAGAAATGAACAAGTTCTCTTTTTTTTCTTTTCTTTAAAAGATGACCGGTAAAGGGATCTTAACCCTTGACTTGGTGTTGTCAGCACCACGCTTTCCCAAGTGAGCCAACCGGCCATCCCTATATGGGATCCAAACCCGTGGCCTTGGTGTTATCAGCACCACACTCTCCCAAGCGAGCCACGGGCTGGCCCCATTGAACCAGTTCTTAACAGGAGGAGATACCCACCAAGAGCTGGGAGTCCTCTGTGCCCCACCCTCTCTCAACCCCCAGGGCTCTGCTGAGACTGGAGTGGGTACACAGGCAGGAGACTTATTTCCTGCAGCCAGAGGAAATATACTTCCCATTGCTAATTTCCTCAAGGGGGAACTAGTCTGGCACTCATCCCTCCCTCCTCCTGTCCTTCCTCCCAACCCACCTTTATCTTTGGGATGCTGGGCATGGGGGAAGGGCACTTAGACAGCCCTCCCTTCTCCCCCAACCTGAGATCTGCCCACTGTTGAACCCTCAAAAGTCACCACATACCATCAGGCCCTTAGAATTCCACAATGCAACAGATCTATATGTGACAACTAGGGGTACGAGGCTGAACCCTTCCTGGTACAGATGGGGAAACTGAGGCCCAGAGGGGCAAGGCAGTTAGTTGTCTATGTCACATGATGTGTCAAGACTGGTCGCTCTTCATTGAAGAGCTTCCCCTTCCCTGAATGTTTTTTCTTCTCACTCCCTGCACTCTTACAGTTTTTCTCAAATCTTCCTGGGAGTCTCAGATCCCTTTGAGAATCTGCTAAAAGATATAGGAACTTCTCACAAAAAAAGCAAGTGACTCAGTGTCCTGAATGCCCCTCCATCACTTCGCTTCCTTGTAGAGCCCCTTCCCACCAAGACCCTCTTTGATTGGGATCTAAGTTGCCTTGCGTCCTCAGGTTTTGTTGGGAGGCAAACGCCCAACTCTCACGGCCCACAGAAGCTCCCCCTGTCTCACAGTCCTCACCCTTGAGTCCCTTGGATCCCCTTCCAGAGGGACAGGGAAGAGAAATAAGCCCAGGTGTGGAGCAATAGTGGGGGAACAGAGAAGACGGGTCAGACCCTGTCCCCCAGCCCCCGTAGGTCCTTAGGCCTGCCAGCTACCCCAAATCCAGTAATGCTGAAGGACCTGGAGGGTTGATGATAAAAGGGAGGAGTGAGGCCACCCTGCACAGCCCCACCGCCCCTCAACTCACTCAGCAACCTCTTCCTGAAGTCACCAGGCTGCCTCTCCCCCCCTTCCCTCCTCTTTGGACTCCTGCTTCCCACCCCCCAGCAGCCCCAGGGGACCGGCCAGCTCCGGTCTGCTCATTAGGGACGAAATGTGATCACTGTGCCTCGCTCCCCACCTGGTGCCCTGGCAGCCGGCGGAAACCAGGGGGCAGTCAGGCCACCCTGACCGCCCTTCTGGGCCTCAGTTTCCCCATTTCTACTGAGGGGGTCTCTATCCACCCCCCACGCCCACATTGTGCAGAAAGGATGCTAGGGTCCTCAGACTCTACCCGTCTGATGTTCTAGATTCCAGCAGTTCTCAAATC